TTTCCAAGGCTCTTTTCTTATTGGCATTGGTTGTGCCAATAGGTCGTGCTCTCCTATCTGTCTTCTCGGTTTATTATACCTCCTTCGGTTCAGGATTGTTTATCCAAGGCTCTTTTCTTATTGGCATTGGTCGTGCCAATTTTCTTATTAGCTCTTGGTCGTGTTGATAGGTTAGTTCGTTTGTTGTCCTGCACCCTGCCTTTAGACAGGGTGCTCTCCAATCTGTCTTCTCGGTTTATTGTACCTCCTTCGGTTCAGGATTGTTTTTCCAAGGCTCTTTTCTTATTGGCATTGGTCGTGCTAATTTTCTTATTGGCTCTAGGTCGTGTTGATAGGTTAGTTTGTTTGTTGTCCTGCACCCTGCCTTTAGACAGAGTGCTCTCCTATCTGTCTTCTCGGTTTATTGTACCTCCTTCGGTTCAGGATTGTTTTTCCAAAGCTCTTTTCTTATTGGCATTGGCCTCTGGGGGTTGAGTGGGTGGGAGCTTCATGCTCTCCTCCGGCGCAGGGGTTTCTGCTCTTTTGGTCGTGTTGACAGGCTAATTCGTTTGTATCGGTCTCCTTTTCTGGCGAAGTATGAGACTGCTGCTTTCCGGAGGGGCCCTTGGGTTGTTGATGCTTGGTTGGTCGGGCCGGGGGTTCATCATGTGTTGTGTCCAGTTGCGGCGCTCCTCTGTTATTTGTCCTACGGCCTCGGTGGCTGGGCACACGCTTTGGGTTGATCCAGTTTCCCTTCTTCCCTGTTCCCAGGTTAGGCTCTCTCAGGTTCTCCGCAGGGCTATTAGGTCCAGCCAGACTGCAGTCAATCGCCGTGCCCATGACATTCCTAAGTTTGCTGCATTTGCTGCAGTCTTTGGTAACATGTCTTGGGTTGATTTGGGCATGGGGGTTTTTGGTGATTGAACAGGGTCCTGGCTGCACGCTACCGCGTAAATTTTCCTGGGCCTAGTGGGGCTTGTGTTGCTTTGGGTCGGCGGATGCAGCCAGTTGTCTCAACTTCGGGTTGAGATGTGGACACCGACAGCCTCCCGGGTAAGTCTCTCTTGTTTTTGTCTTTGATGAAGTAGCTCCCGAGAGCCAAAGGGGCCCCCCCCCCCCCCCAGAAAACCAGTGTTGAGAATGTATTGAAACACCATTTTCTGGGCGAGTCCCGGAGGCTCCCTGGCAACCCCCCGATCCCACTGGTTGGCGTGGTAGGTCTGGGGCTCCCCCTTTCACCTCCTCCCAGGGAGGGGGGAGCTGTGTAGACAAGCGGCACGGATTGTGTGAAGTCATGCTCATTTTCTTTTGGGGAGTTCTGTCCACTCATTTGATTATTTTCATTGTTTTAACCAGAATAGATATTTGATTTTGGTCGCATACCTTTCTGGGTGCCTGTCCCTGTCGATGGCAGATATAGAATGCTCCAAATCCCACGTGCATTTCTATAGCCCATTGCTCCTCGTGCCTCTCTGAGGGGAGGGGGTCCCAGGTAGGCCTAGAACTCCATCCACACTGACTGATGCCAAAGTTTAGTGATATCCATATCAGCCTGGATAGCTCCAGAGAGCCTCCAGGACTTGCCCAGAAAATGGGGTTTCATTACATTCAACGCTGGTTTTTTGGGGATCCTAAAAGATAATCTGAATATATATGGCATGAAGAAAACACAACCACTTTATAAAAGATATATATATTATGCACACTATAAAAACATTCATGTATATTTATACATACACACTGGGTACAAATATATACATCAATTATTTTCACAATTACAATTTAGATATACAGCATTGTCAGCTAAATGTAATTAATAACTGTAAATTTCATATCTACAAAAGGAATACAAGTATTGCATTAAATGCCCTTGAGGTACTAAAAAATAACAACATTGTTCATTAATGAATGCTCACTAGTTAACTATGATGAAAACTATCAATGACAATTTTTTTTTGTTTCTCTTCTGGGAAGTAAAACAAAAATAAGAGGCAGTAAGCATGAAGAACAATAGTGCATCTCATTGCCACTTGGCTTCCCCCTCACATGTATCATACCGAATGATTTAAAGGAGGACCTTACCTTGAGGTTACCTTGAGGTGCTTCCAGGGCTCAGCGTCCCCGCGGCCCGGTCGTCGACCAGGCCTCCTGGTTGCTGGACTGATCAACCAGGCTGTTGGACGCGGCTGCTCGCAGCCTGACGTATGAGTCACAGCCTGGTTGATCAAGGACCCTGTACACTTCTTATGGAACTTTTACATGGTGAATGAGAAAAAAAAAAAACGTTCAGTGTAATGAAACTCCAATTTCTAGGTGAGCTCCTGTGGCTCCCTGAGCCACCATATCTGATATAGATGCCATCTAATAGGTGCCATCAGTCACGGTGTTCTCTGGCCTACCGGGGACGCAAAGTCAGACCCTGGTCTCCTCACAGAGGTGCAGGGATCTGTGGTATTTATATATTAAGTTATTAATTTATGCCACCACCAAGGTAAGCATCCAGAAAATACAGTTGGCTGCTTCCAATACCTGCAGACTCAAAAATGGCCATAGGATTCACCAAATTATGTAAACAAATGACCAAAAAAGTTATAGTTCAGTGCCCACTTGTTCGTCCCAGTCATAACCCCCACCCTCTCCCTCGTTTGGAGGAGGCAGGCCACAGATCACAGGCCACTCCACTGCCAGCTTGATGAATGATATAAGAACTCGACTCTGAGGGGAGGGAGTGAGTCAGGAAGCTCATCCAGAAATTGAAGTTTCATTACATTCAATGCTTGTTTACTTGGGGGAGCCAAATGTGGCTCTCTGAAGCTAACTACCCATAGAGAAGGAAGAAATGGGCACACATCAAGGTGGAGGGAGCACCACACGTATTTAAACGAAGACCAAGATCACTGGCATAAAAGCCGACCCAAGGCCATACAGGGGTAATGAAGCCCCGGAACACTGTCCATGCATGAGCCGCCAACACCTTGGACAACCCTGTGCCCGAAACCAGCCCAGGATAGAGATGTCCAAAAACAGCCAAAAACTGGCAAACCCCCGAACTCCATGGATGCAAGTAAAGACAGCAGGCTGGTGAGCGAGGAGAACAGTGCAGATAACCTGAAAAGAAAAACCCTGGAACTGGGGACCCAGGAGACCAGAGCAACCCATAAAGGAAACTACCAAGGAAGAACCGGTTGCACAAAGGGCGGGACAGAAACTGCCTCCCAAGAACAGACAGGAGAAGCACCCCCAGCTGCACCAACAAACCCTAAAGACCTAGGACCCTTCCGGAGGCCAACCAACCCAATCTCAAGCAGAAAAGAATGGGCCGGCAGCAACAAGGAAACAGCCCAATAGGGTGAAAGGCCAAGAACCGGAGTCAGAGGAGAGAACCAAGTTCAGAAACCAGCAACCTGGAACAAGCTGAACGGAAGGGAACAGCAATACTGATCGGAAAAAGAGAAGAAACATGGGCTAGAGACAGGGCTAGCCCAGGTTGCAAAATGCAGGCTGGAGAAGAAAACCACCAAAAAACCAGTGATGAATGTAATGAAACACCATTTTCTGGGCGAGACCCGGAGGCTTCCTGGAGCTATACCGGGCTGATGTGTATATATTAGACTGTGGCAACAGTCAGTCAGTGGAGTTCTTAACCTACCGGGGACCACACGTCAGAACCTGGCTGCCCTTAGAGAGGCACGAGGAGCAATGACACTCCTAACCAGTTTGAAACAGTCTGTGTCTGTTATCTACCAGGTCAGGCACCCAGAAAGGTAGGAATCCCAAAACAAACTACAGCTAGTTAAATATTGCAAACTGAAAGCCAAATGAGCAAGTAGAACTCCCCAATCAGAAAACAAGCAAACAAGCATGACGTCACTACAGCCGCCATGCCGCTGTCTACGTAGTTCCCCACTTCGTAGGAGGGGAAAGGGAGGGGGGGGGGTGGCTCCAGACCTCCCATGCAGGCTAGCCAACCCCAGTTCAGAGGCTGAATATCAAATTGCAAAAAAAACAATGACCTGAGGAAGAGAGGGATGCTGGGGAGCCTCTGGATCTCACCCAGAAAAATGGCGTTTCATTACATTCAACGCTGGTTTCTGTGGAGAGTCCCTCCGGCTCCCCGGAGCTACCTAACCAAAAATAAAGGGAAAAGAGGGACTTGCCCAAGAGGCGGCCGCCACTCGCTCCTCATCTCAAAGTTGACACAACTGGCTACACATGCCCGAGAAGGGCCCATAACATTAACGAGGTACAGCACGGCCAGGACCCTGTTCGACCTCTCGTGCCCGAAGGTCAGCCCAGGACATATTACCAAAAACAGCAGCCAAAGCCACGAACTTATGAATGCCGTGGGCACGGGGACAGACCGCAGGCTGGCTGGACCGAAGAATCCTGTGGACGACCTGGGAGACCCGCGCCCAGGAACAAGGAAGATGGGAAACAGGGTCAACCCAAAGTGCATCCCCTGCCACGGAGGTAGGGGGACGCACCTGAAAAAACAAAAACAAAAAGTACTGGGGCCAGAGCGGCAGTGGCAGACCTAACACCGACTACACTGACTCCTCTACATATGAGGAGAACTGACAGTGGAGCAGCCTATGAGCCATGGCCTTCTCCCCCTTCGCCTCCCAAGCAACTGGGAGGGTGGAACAAACGAGCGGGTGCTGGGTTATAATGTTTTCAGCTGTTTGTTTGCATAATTTGGGATGTTCAATGGTCGTTTTCGAGTCTGCAGGTATCGGAAGCAGCCAGCTGTGGTTTGTTGTGTTTCATTAATTTTTTGGACGCTTTCCTTGCTGGTAGCATAAATGAATAACTTAAAATATAAATGCCAGAGCCTTCAGCACCTCTATGAGGAGACCAGATTCTGGCTCTGGGTCCCGCTCTGGGTCTGTAGGGGCGCCTGACAGCTGAGTGGACAGCGCTTCGTATTCGTAAACCTGAGGTTCCCGGTTCGATCCCCAGTGGAGGCGGAGACAAATGGGCAAAAAGTTTTTTCACCCTGATGCCCCTGTTACTTAACAGTAAATAGGTACCTGGGAGTTAGACAGCTCCAATGGGCTGCTTCCTGGGGGGTGTAAAACAAAAAGGAGGCCTGGTCAAGGACCGGGCCGCAGGGACACTAAGCCCCGAAATCATCTCAAGATAATCCCGGTTGGCCAGAGAACTCTGCAATTGTTGGCACCTAGTAGATGGTATCTACATTGCAGATGGTAGCTTCAGGGAGCCATAAGGGGCTTTTCCCCCAAGAAAAGATATACATGTTTTAAGTGAGATCAAAACAAATGTTATTGCTTACAGAAATATTTGTTTGATAATTATGGAATAAAAAAACTTGGACTTGCTTCAGCAACATGTTTTAGAAGCTTATCATTAAATGTTATTTGATCATGTGAAAGCTACGGTGGGGATAAAAACCTTATAACCTAACTTTCTAGGTTATACTTGTGATTTGGGCATACATAAATTTTACTCAAGAGTAAATATATGTTTTATTAATATAGAACACTTGAATTTAATCAAATATAAGGCCAAAACCTTGAAATAAAAATGTACAATATATAAATATATTTTAATATGCATGGATTCACATAATTAAAAAATTTGTGACTGACATTTTTTGCTTACTCCTCTAATAAAGCGACAATATCCGATACAGTCATGTACTTAAGCATATCCTTCACTTGGATTTAAAAATGAAGCTTTCATATATGGGTCAACTGCATTATCATCAAAATAATGTAAAGCTTTAGAAAACGAAGTAAAGTTAAAAACAGCTGTTGAAAAACAGATGAATCAGGAAAAGTTCTGGAAAAGCAGGTGGCTCAGATTTGAGTGTGTAGGTTTCCACTATTTGTCCAATTTATCCCATCTTAAGACACCAAATACTGTCATCCTTAATTCATGGCATCTGTGAAAAAATAAATAAATAAATAAATAAATAAATAAATAAACAAATAAATAAATAATCATTAATTATAATGAAATGCCTCTTTCTGGTGGGGCATCAGCGACTCCCTAAAGCTATCTTGTCATGATAGCTCCCTCCAACTGATTCACATTACCCTTAAGTCCTGTATGGCCTACCAGGAACCAGAGCCAGAACCTGGTCTTTTCACACAGGAACAGAGAGTTGGGGATTGCTAAGATCACCCTCACTGAGCAATGTGGGGCTCATCAATTTGGAGACTGAACAGAAAAATTAGGAAAGGTAATTACCTAAATGTTAATCACCTAAGTGTAGTTGCAGGATGAGTGCTACGCTCTTGGTGCCCTGTATTCCAAGCACTCTTTGTCATATAACGCTTTGAAATTACTGACAGTTTTGGTCTACCACTCTGTTTGCGAAAGTGAATTTTCTTATATTTCTTGAGCAGCTTTATTTAGTTAGTTTAAATCTATGACCTCTTGTCCTTGAAGATCCAGGTCTCAGCAATTCATTCCTATCAATTTTATCGATTCCTGGTATTATTTTGTAAGTAGTGATCATATCGCCTCTTTTTCTTCTATCTTCTAGTTTTGGCATATTTAACCCCTGGGCAGCGCTTGCGATTATAGCCTGCAACACCGCGAGCCGCAAAAAACCCAGCATTGAATGTAATGAAACGCCATTTTCTGGGTGAGCCCCGAAGGCTCCCTGGAGCTTATCGGGCTAATGTATGTTATATTGGACTGGGACATTAGCTAAGGAGTTCAGACCTACCAGTGCCAGAACCTGGCCCCTACAGAGAGGTTTCAGGGAGCAATGGCCCTGGAAAACCCATTTGTGGTTGGGGTTTTCCTTATCTGCCATCGACCGGAGTTAGGCACCCAGAAAGGTAGGCATAACAAAACAAACCCCACATGGTAAAAAACTAAAACAAAAAAATGAACAGAGAGGTAGAAACTCCCTACAATCACAAGGAAACAAGCAAACATCACACTTTACTGCCGCGCCGATCGTCCAAGGGAGCCGGTAGGCCGAGAAGACAGCATGAGGGATTTGTGATCCTGTGGTCCTGGGTTCGATCCCAGGTGCCGGCGAGAAACAATGGGCAGAGTTTCTTTCACCCTATGCCCCTGTTACCTAGCAGTAAAATCTGCTAGGTAACCTGGGTGTTAGTCAGCTGTCATGGGCTGCTTCCTGGGGTTGGAGGACACTAAAAAGCCCTGAAATCATCTCAAGAACCTCAAGATAGCCCTCCCCGCCCTGAGAGGGGAAGGAGAGCAGGCAAGAGGTGAAACAAAACACGAGAAAGCATACGAAACGTCATACTGTTGCCAAGATGAAGCTCGCAGGTGGGACACCATCAACAAAGCCACCTGAACACCACAGAGATGGTGATACCTGTGTCAAAATACCAGACACGAACAGCCGAGGGGAAGGCTGAACCAGTCACGTACAGGACCAATTCAACCTGTCGAAAGAGGCGGAGCCGCGGGAAAATGCCCCGGGTTCGGACACTTATCAAGTAGCGTCTGAAAATAAAGCTGGGCCGGCCACCAAGGAACCATAAGGACTGCTCTCGTGGGAATGGGCTGCAACCGAGCCAGAACCTGAAGCAACAGCTGGACCAGGAGAAGAGGCGCAGGTACCCCCACCTCGACCAGTCCTGCCGAAAAGCATCCACCGTGAATGCCTCGCACGTGGGTAAGGGTGCCACATAAAATGGCCGACACCTAGACCACGCCAACTCGAAGACATCCATGGCCAGGAGTCCACACGTCCGACAGAGCCAACAAAACGAGTCAGCGACAACTGGCCAATCCGCGAACAGAGGAATGAACCGAGACAGCTGTCCGCCAGAACACAGGACATACCCCGGACATGAACCTCTCGATTAGCCAAACCCCGAGAATCCAGCAAACGAGCCACTATGGAACCAACCCCAAACGTCAACAACTAAGAGAAACCCTGTGGTTCCGGCAAGACCCGCCAGAGAACAGTCCGAACAGAGCTGAATGGTAGAGCCCCGAGTGACCCAAACCCTCCGAAGCGCAAACCAGACAGCCCGAACTCCCGAATCATGCTGTGAGCTCGATGGACGGACAGACTCCACCATCCCTGGCCGACCTGGTGAGCACTGGTCACAAAGCCCCAGCCGAGAGATGACCCGTCCGTGAACACATCGAGCGAAGGCTCGGGAGGTGCCAAGGCACGGAACCCCGAAAACCCCAAAGAGGAAGCTGGTGATGCAGCACGAACACAATATCCCCGGAGGAACGAACCCAACGCATGCAAGAGGCAGAAGGGGAGTCTCCGAAGAACAAACCAAACAGGAACCAAACAGACGCCGAAACCAAACCTGACCCCGTCGGCAGACCAGCACGTCGAAGTTCAAACTCCCGCACAACTGCTCAAGCAAGCGCTGAGCAACCCGGGACCCCCTCATGTACAGCCGAAGGCGGGACCACAGCCGCAGTAACACTTCTGGAGGGAAAGACAATGAGTGGCCCAATAGCCCTAAACAAGGGCCAGGTCCAAACCCAGGATAGAAACAGATGGAATGGCCTCCAGATCACCAGGAAAACGAACCCGGCGATCTGGAAAGAACCACACCCCTGGCGAGCAGACAAGCGGACTGACTGGGAGCCCACACCAGCCAGTCGTCGAGGTAGGCCAGACACCGAATCTCAAGCAGACTCAGATAGGGCACTAAGATCCAGTAAAGATGCAAAAATTACACCAAGTGCCAATTACAAAATAGGGAAGGCAACAGAAGCAGCAAGCCTGAAGCCCCACCACCAACTGTGCCAGTCCCGGAAAACTGAAGAGGAACGTGCCAAGAAGTGACCTGGAGGTCCAGGGCCACCATCCAGGAACCCGGCCCCATCAGAAGCCGGACAGAAGATAAGAGTCCTCGGGGGAGAAGGACATAGAATCCAGGGCCCCAGAGGCATAGGCATACTGGAAAATCTAGTGGGATAGGGCGACGTCTGATATGTGATTTGATGTTGGTATCATATCCGAAAGCGCCCACCAGAGTCAGCGGGACCATCAGAAGAGCAGAAGAACAGTAAGAGTCCTGAGGGCAGAAGTCCAGAAGAACCGCAGATGCGAAAGGCCCATGACTGCAAAGAGCAGACGGGAACCTTAGAAGGATGGGGCGGATCGCATACGTCCAACGCACCCACTAAGACGACATGACGAAGCACAGGGGAAGAAGCCCACCCCGCCAGCTCTGAACCCCCCAAAGGGGAAGATGCTGTCCACCGACGCCACCAGAGGCCGGAAGACAACCGAAAGCGCCCACCAACAGCGGGACCATGCGAGAGTCAACAGAGCAAGTTGCTCCCCCAGTGCCCCGTCAACAGAGGAGGGAACAGTACCCCATCCGAAAGAAAAAGTACACACACACATACACACATGTATATACACATACATATACATACACACAAGGTATGTTACACACACGTGTGTACACACATGTGCACACACACACAGCGTACACATACACTTTAAAAGAAAGTACAAGTCACCGACCAGTGGGCAGAGAGCACCACGCCAGCCAGGCAAAGAAAGCACAAAACTGCATCAAAAGGTCCACCTCGACAACAAAACCTCAAAGTCCCAGCACGACCACAACATGTGCCAAGACCCAAAAAGATAAGTCTGCAAGCCAGGAAGACCCCAGAACACCAGAAGGCGGAACCGGGTCACACGAGGAAACAAAGCCCCCTGAACCCACAAATGGGGCCCAAGAGGAAGAAACCTCCGGAACGAAACCAAAGAATCCAAAGGAACCCAGAATCGAACCAGGGGGAGCCCAAACCACCACATTTACCGGCAGAGAACACCACAGAAAGGCAAAGCACAGCCCCCCAGACAGAACCCCCAGAGAAACGGTCATAACAGACTGAAAACCGAGGGACAAGGTGTGGGAGCAAGCATAACAGCCAGGGACACTGAACCCAAACCCAAGGGCCCCAGACTCAAAACAAACAAAAAGGGAAACCCAGTGTAAAATCAACACCCAAACGTTCCGAGAGGAACAGGAAACGGGCAGAAAACACCAGAAAAGCAAAGAAACGACAACAGGAGAATAAAACCCCTGAAAAAGGAAGAAAACTCACCCAAGAAGCTCGCTCGCACACCCAGACGCATGTAAACACACCTCAATGCCGCCCTGGTGGCCACGCCGGGAACCAGGCAGACGAAAATGGCCGCCAGACAGAGGGCTGTGACCGACGAAATAAAAGATACGAAAACACGCCAGCAAAAGAGGGAAACAAGCAGACTGGATGGGCGAAACACTCCGCCCAAAAGTATAAAACCTAGGCAGGGGCAAACCGCCCCAGAACTGCTAGCAGGCATCCCTCACAGCCCCGTGAACCAGCAACAGAGGCCCTGGGGCAGAGCCGTCCTCCAAGCCCTCCGCCCTTAAAGAATAGCAAGAGTCCATGGGAAAGGCAGCAAGAAAGGGCCGCTGGTAAGGCCCAGAAGCCTTGGCAGGAGGAACAGGCTCGAAAACCTCCGTCCCCCAACCCGAACGGGTCTAGGATCACCCCTAAACGTACACAGTATCATGACCACCGCACCAATGATCGCAGCCACCGAAAACCGCCCGAGTCTCGGCCCCCAACTAAACCCCGCCCGGACCCCGAAATCCGCAGACAGTCCGGAGTCGGGAACAGGGAGGGAAAGGGGCGAACAGCACCTAACCAAAACGGGGCAGCCTCGGGGCATCCGAGTGGGAAACCAACCTAGCATGTTGCAGCAACCTAACCTAGCTTGCAACACGGATGCCGCCTGTACTCTGAACAGTAATAACATTAGGAGAGTACTGGAGAACAAGCAGAGAATCTCTCGCAAGACTCCGGGTCAAGGTGTCAGGGACCCAACAGGCAGCATAATGGAGGTAAAAGTAGCGACTGTCACCCGGAGACAAGGGCACAGCAACCAACGATCCCGTACAAGACAGGTTGGAACCC